AAAAAAAAAAAAAAAAGGAAGAAAAGCTTCAGCGCGAATCCAATAAAGAAACCAGTCAGGGAACAGATGTTGGTGCTGATCTCATTACAGACGAGCCAGTGGTCCTGCCGCAGACTGGACTTTGCGCCTTTGCTACCCACCGCTAGCTGGCTGCATGTGGGCCCGGGATGCCCCCTTCCCACGTCTTCTGGGGAGGGGAGAGCTGTTTCATGGCAGGGGCTTAAACCTGCAGTTTTCATTTCATGTCTTAAATGTGCATGAAGGAATTAAACTGCACGAGTGAATAACAGCATTAGTTTCAATTAATTTTTATCCTGGCAACAATAAACTTTAGAAACAAAGCGCTTTTACATCCTTAATTAGTCTTGCTTCCCATCTGTAGTCTTTTAAGTGTCTGTTCCTTGATTTAACTTTGTCCCTCCTTCAGAGCTGCCTCCTTTTTCATTCTTTTCCCTTTTTTCTCGTTACCCTTCCAGACTGCTGCTTGTTTCTTCCCTGCAACCTTTCACCTCCCTTGTCCCTATCTGTCTGCTCTGCTCTGCGCAGTTTATTTCTACTGTATTTTCCCAACATCAACAGCAGTATTGGTTACCATGGCCCCGAGCTATGTGCAGAGGTGGGAAAGCTTCATCCGCCCAAAAGTTCTTACACTTTTGAAGTCTTTCTTTTAGTAGGATCTGAAATGTATCATCTAGAGTGTGTATTAAATGAACAGTATTCCTGAAGGCTTTAGAGCAAGAAAGGCAACACCCTGGAAAATTCTGCAGTCTTTCAGCATTCTCTGCCCTAGGGTTATAGCCCTGGGCACGGAGCTGAATGGAGCTCTTACAACTGCCTTCTGTTTACCTTTTATGGTTAAAATAACAGCTTAGCAAAGAAGCAACTTCATGGAGAAACGATTCAGTGAAATCATCTCAAGCTGTAGCAGCATAGCTAGTTTAATCACCCCTAGAGAGCTGAACAACTGTGAGCACAATGGGACACAAAATCATTTTGTGTGTAAATGAGCATGGCATTGTGATTATTTCACTTTGCATGGGCAAATAGTTTTTACAAGCAGTACTTATGCAGTTAGCTTAGAAAGGCAGAAAAAGATAAGCTGGCTCTCGAAGATCTTGGCGTGTAATGTTTGAAAAACTAAATATTCAGATAATTTGGGAATCAGGCTCTATTGATTTTGCCGTTAGCAGGTTCCTGTGTTACTTATTAGAGCAGGGTTATTGCTTGTGCCACTAGTTGGGATGCTATATCCTGTTGTAGGCAACTAAAGAGCCAGCGTTATTTTACATGGTTTAATAAATGAAGTTTGGTAGTGTTTCTGCAATATTTACCCTTAAGGTTTTAATTTTCACATCAGTATTTTCTAATACATGCATAAAGACTTTCACTGGACAAATACGTTTAGGATTTTGCTTTGTGCATAACGTAAGTCCGATACTCAATGTGATGAATTTTATCAGCGTTTTACATTAAAAAGAGGAGAGAGTCATTACAAATAGGGTTAAGGTACCTTAAGAAATGCAGATATATATATTTTTTGGAGGAAATAGGATGGTTTTCAGTGTCCTGTCTGTAGTATTTAACAGTTATGCCCCTTGATAATTTAGTCATACAAAAATGATTGAATTCCACAACTTTAATAAACACATTGGATTCATTTTTTGATACAAGTCCTCTCCAAGCAAGGAAAAAACATGTGTTTTAATTCCACCTCTGCTCCCCACCCCCGAAAAAGCCAGTAGCGCCCTCAATAAGTATGAGAAGCCATAAAAGTTTGAGAACTATTTTAGCTTTCCAGTGATTTTCTATAATTAAGCATTTTTTTCAACACATGCTCTAGCTGAGAGATGCCAAAAGCAGCGGATTGTTCAAAAGGTCCCTCCAGTGAATAGTATAAATTAAATATCTAGTGTGAGCATGATGGCCTCCCTGAGAATCTCAGACACTTTACAGATCAAGGAATTTACTGGTATACTAACATTAAACAAAATCCTAAGATAGCAGCTGTGTTTAAATATGCACAAATAGATTGAAGATCACTTGATCTTTAGCTATCTGTGCATATTTTAAAATTGAAGTCTGTATTTCAAGACAAATGGTTAAATGTAAGACTCGTTTGCAGAGGGCTGTAAGTCCTTTGATTTCATTTAGGAATGGCAATAAGGGGTGCAGACGAGTCCTAATTAGGCGCTTGTTTTGTGAAACTGCACGAGAGGTATTTCTAAGGCAGCTCTGTACCGCGCAAGGTCTGTACCTTTATCATGAGTAATAATAGTTAGGGTCTGAACAAAGACAGGGTTGACATTCAGCCAGTGTCTTCTGACCCTTTCGTTTAAGCGAAGGAATAGAGAGTGAACGTGAGTTTACACTGCTCTTTGGTAAGGTAAAAAAATCTTTGGGTAGGTAGACAGATGAGGCACCCTCAGACCAGTAAACACACTGCTCAAATACTGTAGGTACCCCCATGCCAAGTTGTTTCTGAAAGTTAGTTCTTTTGTTTATGGCATAGGGCATGTTTAGGAAAGCTTGCCCACAACAGGCTCTTGTGGGAATCGGGAAAGCAACGTCTTAGTCATGAAAGGATTCAATCACTTTCCTTGAAGGTGGTGCTGTAGTGAAAATGTTAATGCCAATGTCGCAGCGCCTGCCACAGAAGTCCTAGGACAGCGCTGATACTTGCTTCGTGCTGGGTGCAGATGCCCGTTGTGCATTCGAGGAGCAAAGGATGTGGATTCATAATGGGGTGAGGTATCTCTGTGCTGCAGAGGCAGAACATTCGCATGAGCTGAACTAGATGAAATACAGTCAAGGAGGATGTTGTGGTGACTTATGAGGCTGTCCAGATGTATTAAGATTTTTCAATTCCTTTCTTTGTAGTTCAGCTAGAATTTTTGTTACAGAGACTGTTGCTAATTGTGTGTTCATTGAGCATTGTAGCCAGGGATGTTGTGCAAAATACTTGGTAAAAGAAAGCAGAGACCAGCTTTAGCATTCGAAGAAACGTGCTCCAAATAATGTGGGAGAAATGGAAATTCACTTTATAGTATTGTATGTAAAGTGCTTGTCAGATGTAAGGAAGAGTCTGGATGTTTGGTGGCATGCTTGCAAAACAAAATACCAAGAAAATTAGATTATATTCAGAAATGTCTTCAACTATAATGTTTTGCATATGTTGCTTTACCCCATAAGGGGGAGAAAGGATGGACATTTTCTTCAACTTTTATAAAAGATTGAGTGTTTTTCCATTTGACATACAAGCTGTCTATACTGATTTAACTTAAATTAGCTACACGAGACAGACTATTTAATGCAGAATAAGCTGTGTTTTTCTTACTGAAGAGAATTGATGGTTTGTTTGGGTTTTTTTGCTTTGGTAGTCCTTTTTGTTGTTAAGACATGCAGGTATTTTTTTGCTTTTTATGTCAGCTGAAGATCTTTGGTTTCAATTCCGTAATTTCACTAATTTTCAAATACTTTTAGTGCAGCAAATATTAGGTTGGTGGTTAGAAATGTTTATTTGTGATTTCACATGCCAGATTGTGTAGTAGTTTCTAAAGCTTCTTGTCGTGAAAACATATCTTGTGTACGTACCTTTCTGTTTTCACTGCTTGCAGGTATCAATTGCCTTCAGTTTAAAAGCTTATTTAGTTCTTTATATCTAATATTACGACTTAACCAAAAATTATCCATTTATTTCACAATTATTAAAAAACATAAAATTGATCTTAGTTTGATGTGGAATTTACTACATGTATAAACTAAACGCCTTAGGTACTGAGGAAGTCACTAATTTAGAGGTGTCTCGTTACTGAGACAAACTTGCAAAAACCCCTGAATCCCAATTCACAAATTGGTTATTCGTTTGTCAGGGGATATTTCACATCTAACACATAAGCCTGCGACCTTTAATTAGAATTTTGCAGTTTGTTTTATGCCCCTTGAGGCTGACACCTTGAAAAATTTTTTTCTTGATTTCTTATTGCTAATAAGCATCTTTCTCTTCCCCTCTGGTACTTTGAAGAAAATGATGCAAATACACTTAATTACAGTGGTGGCAATAATTTGTTAGCTGAATATGTGATCAGGCAGATGCAAAAATGATCTGATTAGATCTGTGATCACACTAGAAATAAAGGTAACGCACACTGCTACATTTAAGAGAAACTGTTCTTTTTTGTCTTCCGTTTCCAGGAGGGAAGAAGCATGTCCCGTCTGTCTCTAACACGATCCCCAGTTTCTCCTCTGGCTGCCCAAGGAATTCCTCTCCCAGCCCAGCTCACCAAGTCGAATGCCCCCGTGCACATCGACGTAGGAGGACACATGTACACCAGCAGCCTGGCCACCTTGACAAAGTATCCCGATTCCAGGTAAGACCTCGGCATTTGCAGGCCTCTTCCTTTTCACTGCATGGAAAGATGCGTGTACCTGTGAGGAATATTTCAGTGTGGAATACGATTTATTATATATTCGCCACTTATGAATAATTCAGTTTCTGATTTATATATTAACTTCACTAGGGTTCTATAGAAAAAAAAGGCCTGTAAAATTTATATATTATTTAGAGAATCTATTCATTTTCTTTCTCGACGTCTTCTGCCCTGTATCGTTATGTTTGAAGCACCTGTTGGTGTGCCTGTCCTAGATTCTTTACAGCTGTTCCAAGCAACTTCTTTCTTTCAGATAAAAGAAAATCATTTTCTTTTAAGAAAACAGAACAGCTCCGTTACACTGGGACTAGGGGATGCTTCTGTCGGCCAGCACAAATCCTAAAATCAGTCCTAGCTCTGTTCTCAGCTGGTGTCAGCCTCAGTGACGCTATAGTCATTTGCTTTGGGTAAAATGGCCAGCATTCTTCATGTATTTGTTTGCAACTGCGTATTAGATTTAATCTTTGCACGATGAAAGGTAGCTGATTTGTGCTGAACATGTTAATGACATCTTTGGCAAGGTTTATTCTGTTTTGGCCAGTATTATCACAGAGGAGACTCCAGCTATGTGTCGTTTTGAATACCTGTGGCATAAGAATATATCTGTATAAGTAAAAGAGTGTCGTCACTATTTGCCCGGGTCCCGAATCCGTAGGGTGCTGGGCAGCATGCAAGGTGAGCATCCTCGGCAGTATCAGGCCTCTGATGGGAGAGTGAAAGGTATCACTGATTTCAGGGTTAAAGCATATTCACTGGAGTGTTCTGTTAGATATTCCCGACAGGTTTAGATTTACAGTAAAACACTAAAATAATTTGGCTTTTTGGCATGTAGGCTGTTGATTTGTCAGAACGGTTAAGTGCCTCATATGGAACCAGCAGAAGGGGTGAGATGCGCAGTATCACAGTGTGTGTCAGGCTGGCCAAAGGACTCCAGAGCAAGCCAGGAGTCAGGCCAGCAGGGTCAGTTGTCAGAGGTTCTGCAACCTGCCTGGCCAGCGTTGCTATAAGGAGATAGGTTTTTGGGTATAGACGATCTGTGCAAAAAAATGTTTTTATTTGAAGATTTTTCCTGTAATAGAAGTAGGAATTTTTGCACAGATTTGCAGTTTCCCAAGCAATAAATGGCATTTGTGGAGACACCTTGAAATGTCTCTGATGTCATAAAGCATATGGCTGGGATTTCATGCCAAGGAGAGGTAGCTCTTGAAATGGTCTATGGAAAAGAAACAGTTATTAAAATGCCTGTATTTTAAAGTTGGGCCAAAACAACATGATTTTTCTGGACAGTAGTGATGTCTAGGTAGTACTTATCCAATCATAAAGAAGAAATCTATTCAGAGGGGAGAGATTTATAACAGAAAAGCAGACGGTTGTTTCATAGTACAAAAAATACTGAGAAGATGCAGCAGTTGTAGTGGAGCAGCACATCTGTTTCCACATTTTAAAAAATCACTGCTGACACTGTTTTTAAAATATACCCTATATCTGAGTTATTTAATAAAAACTTCTGTTATGTAAGCCTTGGGAAAATATACATAAATTGACAGCTTTTATTTAGGAAGAATAGGGTACTGGTTTAAAACCATTCTCTTTTTTTCCGTTTGCTAAAATAATGGGAATTTATTTCTTCTGGTTTGGTACTTTTATTTAAATTAACAATATAAAACCGTGACTGACCGGGGCTCATGTACTGCATGATGTTTTGCTGTGTAGTGTCTTACGTTTGTATTGCTGCGTTATCTCGTAAGGCTTGAAAGCTTCCTCAGCTGCCCGCAACTTCCCCCCCACCAATACAAGTAGGAAATATTGCTACATATGAAGTGGAATAGAGGGTACGCCTTAAATTTAGAGTCAAATCTTTTTTTTTTTTTTAATTTGGCTTTGCACAGTATTGTATAGTGGACTTACCTGGTTACCCACCATTGAGACTGGCCCGCACTCATTCCCAGTTAAGTCAAAAGTTACAGTTGGAGTTATTTCAGTGGGACAAGTTGAGCTCATGCTGACATTTCTCAGCTCTGTGGTGCATCTCCCATAAGGGCACAGAGTGTTTTCACCATGGTCTGGGGGACGGAGCAATCCCAGGTCCCTTACAGATGATGGAGGAAGGGAGATAGATTTTCTGAGCGAGACATGTAGTAATAATGCCAGAGCACTACTAGCTTATGCTCGGAGACGACACGCAGGGCCACAGACAAAGGCATGGCCATACTCATCCACTCACAGCACTTGCTGGATTATTTGGACAGGGCATTAAACTCTTGGTTTGAGCATTAGCTTAAAAGCTTCAAATCTAAAAAATTAAACAAATTTGTAGATTCTGATTCAGCAAAACATGTAAGCATGTGCTGAAATCCTTTGCTAAATCAGAGATCCAGCCGCAGAAACTACAATTTGCACTCACTAGAAATGAAAGCTGCGGGAATAACGTTCCTGTTTGTTTGTGTTACGATCTCTACTTCTTTCTGTGTGCTCCAAAATCCAAAATCTACTTTTAGCTTGAAGTTCATGCTATACAAGTATGTTTAAGGACATATTCAGGTTGTGCACATGTGTATAAATATAATCAGGGTATGCATGCACACAGACATCACGTGCTATTGGGAAACAGAAAAACCATTAAATCGTGTTTCTCCTTCGGAAAAGTACTTAAAAGAGGCCCAATCCTGTTAGGTCCTGAAAGAACTCAGTTCACGTTAACTTCAGTGGGAGGGAAGAGTTCCCAGCTGCTTGCAAGATCAGGCCCAGCAGAAGCAAGTATAGGTATGGCCAGTTCCTGCCTCTACCTGCTTTCCAGTCACCCCTCTGGTATGATATAAATTACAGCTGACAGCAGGCAGCGTGATACATTTCTTATTGTAATTTGTTAGGATCGACTGTGCTCAGCCCACTCGGCTTGCTGTGCTTGACTGTTTGCGAGTTATGTGGCTGCCTCTAATTCATGCAAACGCAGGGCCTGATTCTGTGCGTCTTACTCACGTGAGTGAGCAGTTAGGGATGCGAAGTCAGAGGGCAAATTTTGCATTTCAGTGATCCGGGAGTTGTTTTAGAGCAACTTTGACGAGGACTTTGATGTTGTTTGTATAAGTGCAACTGCTGTGAGAAGAGAATTTGTCCATTGATTGAATTTGCATAAGCAAAGGGTGCCAGATTAGGCATTAAAGGTGGTAGACGCCCTCTTTCCAGTAAATTTTTATGGGCTACATCAGGTCTCTCATCTAAAGAAGACAAAACTCAAACAGCGCACAACTGCTGTGACAAAGGCGAAGAGAGTTAAACAGCCACTGTAAAAGATACTTTCTAAGCCAGTCATGTTCACCTTACTCATTACTCTTACACACCTTCCAAATTGGCTTTTTGAATGACACATCGTATAAACAAGTAAGTTGGCCTTTCAGAGCGTGAAAGGCAGGGAAAATGAGAAACACATAAAACATTGTGATTGACACCAGTAGTCACACAAATGATCTCAGAAGTTAGATTATTATTCCTTCTTGCTACAGCTACTTGAGCTTGTATACCCTGGATTGCCGTTGAAGTTAACAAGCTTTGGAGGTACAGAGGAGGATGACACTGCCTTATCTGGATCTGAGGCTCAGTGTCAACAGTTTATTTCAAGTAAATTCTCCCACTAAAACTAATAACTCTGGTAGTTAGGAATTACAAGGGTGCAAAAGAAAAAGAAATCTGTGGATTTCAGTCTTGTGCACTCTTACCGTCAACATCTTATTTCTAAAGTAAACAGCTAAAAAGGGAAATTATTCACCTCTGAGAGCAGTTCCTCTAGAAATTTCATTCATGTTTTCACCCATGCTACCTCTGAGGCAGCCCTTTCACACGTTGACACTTGAATATGGATTCACATGACAGACTGTAAAGGCTGCAAAGGCTCTAGCACATCTATGAAGTGAGCTGCAAATTGTATTTCTCCAATAGTGTGAGACAGTTCTTAAAAAAAAAAACAAAAAAACCAAAAAAAACCACACACACACCAGAAGTCCAAGCTCTTAATGTGCAGTCAGGAATGTCCAAAGACATTGCCAGATCATCCAGTCTTATTCCCACTGCATTCAGTAATAAACTCTCAATGATTTTAAGTGGAAAAGAATTTAAAGTTTCAGATCCCTGTTTACCACAGGAAATCTACTCTTCACAGTTTCACTGAAAGTTTTGATACAATTTTGAATTTCAGTTTGAAAGCTGAACAAGATTTCTCATCAGAAGTCAGTCCTTTTTACAGCCCTGTATAGTATTTATCTCAGAGAACAGCTGTGAGCACTTTTAAGAGTTGCTCTGCTATGAAAGGTAAATATTTTTACCCTACATTCTTGGCTAATTAGTGTTTGTTGTATAACCCTCTATTAAAGATAAGTATGTTCTTTTGTTTGAAATGTATTTATAAAACATCGTGCTTTCAGTAGCATTAGTAATGTGACAAAAATGAAGGAGAATAGTTTTAATTGAAGTGGACATTTCTAAGTGCGACTGGTGTGGTCACATAGACCTTGGTGGAGCTTCCCCAGTACCAGTTGGTAGCACACGGTGTTGGGGACTGTCAGACTGGACCTGGCTGGTCTCAGCCTTTCTTCACCCTCAGTAACCTACAGCACCCACCTTTCTCTAGTATTTCTGGCAGTTTTCTTACCTTTTTATGAAAATGGAACTTTTTAGCCCTGCTGCCTGAGGCATCCAGGGCCAGTGCCAACATGACGGATGTCCTGATCTCAGCTCTCAGGACACCTTGGCTGTGTCACTCACTTCTCTGGAGACGCTTGTGCTGTAAAGAAAACCAACACAGGCTTTTTAACTGTTTCAAAACCTAATGACTTGACTTCAGGTGTTACAAGATGTAATAAAATTTTCCAGGCATATCCGTGCCCCAGTTTCCTCTGAACCCATGAACATTTTTTTGGATTTATGGAAGTATGAAAGTATCTGCT